CCCCCGTAATATGCTGAAATAAAAAAAAAATTTTAAAAAGTAAATAAAAGAAAAAATGGTTTTGTGAGAAAATTTTGAAGCACAACCAAAAAATAGTGTTCATGGAAGCCTGACCCAGATTTAACAAAATCTGAGGCAATGTTGTAAATTATGAAAATACAAATTATGTGATTAAGATGGAAAGTACACTTTGAAAATATTTCAAAAACCCAACATAACATTCTGTGTTTTGACACTTTAAGGAGCACTGAATATTTCTAATCTCACTTGAGGAATAAGTGGTATTAGAAATCAAATAATACTCAAACAAAGCCTAGTTCCTTGATTTAGAGATTGGGATTTATTCTAATCCAGTGCTTGATTAACTGATGTGCAATAGCTCGGCTTGGTGGCACAAAGAATGCCTGCTGCTTCCCTTTGGTCAGAACATCCACGACCTAAAATATACCACAAAAAAATGCATTAGGATTTCAAAACTGTCATATTTAAATACTATTTCCATGCTTATACAATTCAATTTAAATATGATGACTTTTACAGTGAATAACAACAGTAGAAAGTGACAATATCCATATTCAACATGCAAAATTTAGGACAGCATTTTTAATTGCTTCACTAAGCTAGTGATTCAGTTTTCAAAATGTTCCAGAAAAGCATATTCCCTATGAAAACGAGGTCACGAAAAAGCAAAATATATGCTCCACACTTAATTTCAAAGTGAAGCCAACTTCTGGGACAGGTTCTCTTTTATAAAATTCTAAAACAATAATCTAATTTCTACCTTTTGGGGTTAAGCGTAAAATAAAATTAATTTTATGTAGGCAAAGTCAGAAAGGATTTCAAGTCTTTACTATTGTAGTACATCCATCTGTTTTCTATACAAATGCTTTAGGTCATGGAGAACACAAACTAGTAATTTATCTTTCATTATATTCTTTAGGGATGGTATTCAAAAAGTTCTTGTGAGTGTATCTTTATTATACAGATATGTCATTCTTATCCCTAGTACATTTTAAAATGAATAAAAACATTTCAAAAATTTTAAGCATTTTTACTGATGTTTTTTGAGAGCTACTTGTCTTAATGCTATAAACTGAAACATAAAATGTCTAAAAATAATATTCCTGTTTCTCATTCCTGAACTAATGCTTATCTACTTTACACACATCGACAGGTATTATCATCGACCTGAAGGAATGACATCTGAAATTCGAAATGGCACAGAATTATCATTACTAGAAGAATGAGTTAATATAGGACACATTAGTGAAAACATACTCTTCCTATATGGAATTACCAATTATATTGTAATCCATGCATAATGAGGGGGCCAAAGCCATTCATTCAACTTGCTGACAATATGCATCCTTGCTGTGTGCCCAAACCAATACAGTCAGGAGCAATCAATAGAAGAAGGAAATTAAATTGAACTTTACCTGTTCTCTGGTGAACCAGCGGGCATCCTCTATTTCATTCTTGTCAACTTTAATTTCTGTAGACACTGCCACAGCTAGGCAACCAATCATTAAGGAGGAAGGCATTGGCCATGGTTGACAAGAGACATACTGAACATGGCCAACTTTGACTCCACTTTCCTCTTCCACTTCTCTCCGAACAGCATCTTCTATTGTCTCCCCTAATCAAATGGGGCAAAAGAACAAGTTGCTGATGAACAGGCCCTGGACATTTTGTGCTCTGAATGGTTCAAACATTTGGAAATCACTTTGGACAGAAACCCACTTCAAAGAATCGGAAAGCAGAAGCCTAAAATTAGACTGGAATTGAAGAAAACATTATTTTTTTAAGTATATGATTACATACAGAATATCAAAATGCCAATAAAAACCCTTTCATTTCTTAAAGGTCCAAATTTGTCAGTCACAGTTTAAAAATAATAATTATAACATCTACAACTATCCAGCACCTACTATTAGCTAAATACTATGCAAACATTTTATATATTATCTCTTTTATATACTATTACTAAATAGTTACAAATTATCATTACATGATTTTTATAAATGGTTAGCTCTTTTCCCACTAAAATCTTGAAACTCTTTCTTTATTATGTTGTCAAACAATTATTACAGATAACTCTTTTTAGGTCCCTAAAAGATTAAAAGCCACATAAGATGAAACTCAATACTTTTTCTTTCCAAGCAATTGTTTTCCTCTAGACGACTGTTCACTCAGCTATGATGAAATTAAGTAATATCTATAAATGTACTTTGTATTTCTAATTTGTTGGAATTGAGAAGTAGAATAGGGGAAATAGTCTTTAAGTAAAATTTATCTGGAAGTTTAGAAATCTTTTGCTAAATATAGTAGTATTTAGCAAACTATATTTGTAAATATAGCATTCCATTTCAAATAGATTGATAAGTTTCCTACATGAAAATTAAGAACTTACATTAATCAAAAGAAAGTATATAGTGGAAAGATAAGTCATAGACTAGCATAAGATATTTGCAAGACCATTACTAATAAACCACTGGCATATAATACATATTTTAAATCTCTTAAAATCAATAATAAAAAAGGATAAACCAAACAAAAATAGGTAAAAGATATAAACATCTAAAATTCAGAGAAAGGAAAATTGAATGCCTCATAAACATCTGAAAAAAGATTTTTCCTCAGTAGGAAAATGAAAACCACAATAACATACTATTTCATTCACCCCTCAGAATGACAAATTAAAAACTCTGAAAATTTTAACTTGATCAAGAAGTGGAATAACAGAACTTTCATGTACTGCTGAAGGAAGTTTCAATTGGCAGGAACACTTCAAAGAGCAAATTGGCAATATTTAGAAAAGGTTAAGATGCTCATATCATATGAGCTATCAATTCTACTCTATGTATATATCCTAGATAAGTCTTGCAAATGTGCACAAGAAGTATAAAAATATTCATTGCAGTGCTGTTTTTAATACAACCTTAAACTAAATGTCCATCAGAAGAATGGATAAACAGTGGAATATTCATAAATGGAATACTACCCGGCAGTTAAAAAAATGACCAAGAACTAGTAGAGACAGCATAGTGATTAGGAGTAAAGACTCAGAAGCCAAACCACCCAAGTTTAAATCCCTTCCCTTTAACTTACTAGCTGTTCCATATTCGGCAA